TCTCCTGCCTCAGCCTCCTGAGTAGCTGGGATTACAGGCATGAACCACCATGCCCAGCTAATTTTTTGTATTTTTAGTAGAGACGGGGTTTCACCATGTTGACCAGGATGGTCTTGATCTCTTGACCTTGTGATCCACCCGCCTCTGCCTCCCAAAGTGCTGGGATTACAGGCTTGAGCCACCACGCCCGGCATAATTTTGTATTTTTAGTAGAGATGGGGTTTCACCATGTTGGCCAGGCTGGTCCGGAACTCCTGACCTCAGGTGATCCGTCTGCCTCAGACTCCCAAAGTGCCCAGCCCCGATCCAGGTTTTTCTCTGGGTGCTTTGTGGCAGTGTAGCCAAGCACTAGATCGGTGCTGATGGAGTCTGAGTCCACATCAGGGCCCTGCTCAGGATTGTGCAGGCCTGAAGTTGGGGGTCCTGAGTTCAAGTCTTGGCTCTGTCAGCCTTGCTGCACCTTGGTGGGCCCTTCTTTGTGCCTCCCCGGACCTCAGACCCATCCTTTCTGTGTTCTGCCTGGACAGGGTAACTTCTAGCAACAGTTGTTTTTCATGGCCACCTGCCCAGATGCCTTGTGCCCCACTGGGGTCACTTCTGGAGACTGTCTGTGTGGGTCTGTTTATCTTGGTTCCAGGTGGCTGTGCAAGTGGGGCTCTGTGCTGCCTTATGGAGCAGGGAACCCTCAAGGCACATGTGTCCTCCTGCCATCCAGGCTGGAGGTCTGGGAGGCCAGAGTCACACCTGAGGTCAGCTGAGTGCCCACAGCAGGGCAGAGCCCCCAGGCTGGGCCAGATTTGGGTATCCAGCCAGAGCCCATGCTGGCCTGCGATTCCTGGTGGGGCTCCCAGGGAGCTGTGTCTCTCCCTGTCCTTCTCTGCCTTGATCTTTCCCCCTCTCCTGTGGCCTAGAGAAGATAGGACCCAAGGCCATGGAACTGACTGACTCCCCCCTCAATCCCACCCATTCTCCCTGTCCCCCTTTCCTTGAGCCCCTGGTAGAGGCCCCATATTAGTCAGTGTTCTCCAGAGAGACAGAACCAATAGAATCTGTCTCCTCTCTCTTTCTCTCTCCCCCTCTCTCCCCACCCCCCCCCCCCCCTCCCCCTCCCCCCCCCCCCCCCCCCCCCCAACACTCTCTGTTTTTGCCATTACTGTCATCCAGGCTGGAGTGCAGTGAGCTGCAGCCTTGAGCTCCTGAGCTCAAGCAATCCTCCACCTCAGCCTCCCAAATAGCTGGGACCACAGGTGCATACCACCATACCTGGCTAATTTTTAAACTTTTCACATAGATAAGGTCTTGCAATGTTGCCCAGGCTGATTCTGACCTCTTGGGCTCAAGCAAACCTCCTGCCTCAGCCTCCCAAAGTGCTGAGATTATAGTGTAAGCCACCATGCCTGGCTTTATCTATCCATCCATCCATCCTCCATCCATCCAAATAGTGGATGTATTAGGGGAATTGGCTCCTGTGATTATGGAGGCTGTAAAGTCCCGTGACAGACCGTCTGCAAGCTGGAGACCCAGGGGTGGCAGCAGGGGTAGCATGGTTCAGTCTGGGTCGCAGGGCCTCAGAACCAGAGAGCTTAGTATGATAGTGAAGGCCTGAGAGCAGATGGGGGTGGGGGGTAATGATGTAGTTCCTGGAGTCCAAAGGCTGGAGTTCTGATATCCAAGGACTAGAGAAGCGTACGTGTTGCAGCTCCAAGAGAGGGAGGGAAGGAGGGGAGGCGGGGAAGGAGGGGAGGAGGGGAAGGAGAGAGGGAGGAAGGAGGGAGGGGAAGGAGGGGAGGCGGGGAAGGAGGGGAGGCGGGGAAGGAGGGGAGGCGGGGAAGGAGGGGAGGGGAAGAAGAGAGGGAGGGAGGAGGGGAGGCGGGGAAGGAGGGGAGGCGGGGAAGGAGGGAGGGGAAGGAGAGAGGGAGGGAGGAAGGAGGGGAAGGAGAGAGGGGGGAAGGAGGGAAGAGGGGGAAGGAGAGAGGGGGAAGAGAGGGGGAAGGAGGGGGGGGAAGGGGGAAGGAGAGAGGGGAAGGAGGGGAGGAAGAGGGGGGAAGGGAAGGGGGAAGGAGGAAAGGGGGTAAGGAGGGGAAGAGGGAAGAGGGGGAAGGAGAGAGGGAGGGAAGGGGGGGAAGGAGAGGAGGGAGGGAAGGAGAGAAGGGGAGAAGAGGGGGGAAGGAGAGGAGGGAGGGAAAACCTTTGCCTCTGCTTTTTTGTTCTGTTGGGGCCCCAGCTGATTGGATGGTGCTGGCCCACATTGAGGGTGGGCCTTCCCCACTCAGTCCAATTACTTGCTCCCAGTCTGGAAACACCTTGGCAGACACACTCGAAAAAATGGGGCATGCCTGTAGGATGTGCCGGCCCAGTGGCTGTTTCTGGGGTCTGTGGGAGACAGGACCAGCCCACAGCTGGGCTGGGCGGGCACTGCTGTCCTCCTGTGTGCAGGTTTCTCCTCTCTCTGGTGGTCCAGAGTGGAGCCCCTGAGGGAAGGCTGGGGCTCGGAGGGGCAGCTGAGTCCTTCAAGGTGCTGGGAAAAGCAGGAAGGGCACGGAGCTCCCTGAAGGTGGGCTGTACAGGGCATGGTGAGGGACCCTGAGGGTGCCCCACACAGGTAGAACTTAGTATCTTGGTTCAGCAGATGGGGAAACTGAGGCCCACTCTCCAAGGTCAGGGTTGCCAGGCTCTGTTGTGGCTCTCGCCTCTGAGGGGCACAGGAGTGGCCTATGCTTGCCTGTACCCAAGCGCTGGAGGCCTGGGCCTACCCTCCCCAGAGCTCACCTGGGTGTGTGGCTCACCTGACCAGGTGTGGTCTGCCCCTCCCTCTTGCCCCGAGGCTTGGCCTCCTTCCAAGAGGAAGCAGAGACTGGTTGCCTGGGAAAGACAGGATGGGGTGGGGGTAGGCCTGGAACTGGCAGGTCCCCAGGAGGGTTGGCCACTGCCCTGGGGGTGGGGGGCATCCCTGGGTGAGAGGGAGGCAGTAGAGCCCTCGGGTTTGCAGTCCGCCTACATCCAGGCAGGCAAATGAGACTTTGCATGCGACTTCCTTGGTCCTGTGCCTGGGCCAGAGCCTTCCTGAGCGGGAGCTGCCGGTAGGCCCCCTTGGCCTGCTACACAGGAGACACTGCTTCCCTACCTGGGACTACTTTGCTGCAGGCGCTAGGCACGCACCCCCGGGCTGAGGCCCCCCCCCAGGAAGCACACAGGCAGCACTCAGGCACAGCCTCTGCGGCATCCCCGCTGGCCTGGACCTGCGGGGTGGGAACAGCTGGGATGTGGAAGGCCAGTGTGGGCTGCATGCGCCCCTGCTGGAGTCTTGCCCTCTGAGTCTGGCAGGATAAGGCTCGGCCAGGGCAGGAGGCAGCAGGCCCTCGGGCAGCACTGAGTGTGACTGGCCTCTGTGTCCAGGGGCAAAGGGACCAGCGAGGTTTGCTGGCTGCTCCCACCCTCTCTCCTCGGCCACTGCCGTGGGAAGAAGCGTGCGGAGGAGGGCGGGGAGCAGCCCCACTGGGCAGGGCCTCACACCTCCCCGTCTTCCCTGCAGCCAAGTACCCGGCCATCAAGGCCCTGATGCGGCCGGACCCGAGCCTCAAGTGGACGGTGCTGGCGCTGGTGCTGGCGCAGCTGCTGGCCTGCTGGCTGGTGCGCGGGCTGGCCTGGCGCTGGCTGCTGTTCTGGGCCTACACCCTTGGCGGCTGCGTGAACCACTCGCTGACACTGGCCATCCACGACATCTCACACAATGCAGCCTTTGGCACCAGTTGTGCTGCGCGCAACCGCTGGCTGGCCGTGTTCGCTAACCTGCCTGTGGGTGTGCCCTACGCCGCCTCCTTCAAGAAGTACCACGTGGACCACCACCGCTACCTGGGTGGCGACGGACTGGATGTGGACGTGCCCACGCGCCTGGAGGGCTGGTTCTTTTGCACGCCCACCCGCAAGCTGCTCTGGCTGGTGCTGCAGCCCTTCTTCTACTCACTGCGGCCGCTCTGTGTCCACCCCAGGGCCGTGACCCGCATGGAGGTGCTCAATGCACTGGTGCAGCTGGTGGCGGACGTGGCCATCTTTGCCCTGTGGGGGCTCAAGCCTGTGGTCTACCTGCTGGCCAGCTCCTTCCTGGGCCTGGGCCTGCACCCCATCTCAGGCCACTTCGTGGCCGAGCACTACATGTTCCTCAAGGGCCACGAGACCTACTCCTACTACGGGCCCCTCAACTGGATCACCTTCAATGTGGGCTACCACGTGGAGCACCACGACTTCCCCAGCATCCCAGGCTGCAACCTGCCCCTGGTATGTGGCTGGGGTGGCAGGGCTGTGGCAGGGCAGAGCAGGGCTGCGGCAGGGCAGAGCAGGGCTGCATGGCCATCTGAGGAGGTAGGGGCCCAGGAGGGCCTTGGGCCATGCCCAGCGACGTCTCCGTTTTGGTGCTGGTCATAGCATGGCCGCTCACACTTGCCCCAGGGCAGGAGGAAAGGCAACGCAACACAGGTGAGTCCTCTGCTGGAGGCTGAAGCAAATTCAGGGAGGCAGGGTCTGAGAGGCATTTCACAGTGGAGGCTGCTTGAAGCTTGCCATGAAGTATGCCAGAGGGCTGTGTTTCCTCTGGCAAGCTGCTTACCCTCTCTGTGCCCCAGCTTCCTCTTCCTTGAAGCAGGGCGGCATTAGTGACACTGTGTGGAAGCACCATCTGCAGACTCTGTCCCTGCTTATTCCTTGTCATTGCCCTGTGTCCCTCCAGGGCCCAGAGAGGACAGGGCAGGCCTTGCCCTTCACAGCCCAAGGGGCTTGGCCAGAGCTGATGGGGAGCGGAAGCCGCAGGGCTGGGCACCTCTGCCTTGAGAGACTGGGAGCTGGAGAATTTCCGAACAAGAAAGGACGAAGGGGAAGGGGAGGAGGAGCCATCCCTTAGCCATTGCCAGCCTGCGCCTTAGTGGCCTCTGGCTGCCTGAAAAGAACTGGAGTGGCCTGCAGCAAAGGGGGCAGGAGAAGGTGGCACTGGGGTGTTCAGGCACCTGAGAGCGCCTCTGTGTGCACATGTCTGTGTGAGCGTGTTTGCCCTGTGATTATGTGTGGGTGCCTAGTATTTGCACGTATGCAGGTACTTGCATGTGTGCCTGAGCGTGCATACATGCTCTGCATGTGGTTACGTGTGAGCACTTGCCTAGTTGTGCAGGTGTTTGTGCATGAGTCCCTGAACGTGTTGTGTGTGCGTCCTGGCCCGTGTGACTCGAATCCCTCCGACCGGTTCCAAGCCTGGGCTGTGGCCTGTGCCCTCCTTTCTGGCTGGCAGTACCAAGGCGGTGCTCTGCACTGGGGACTATCTCGCTTGAACCTCACTACAGCCCAGGAAGCAGCTGCCTTCCCATCCATTATCCCTGTTGTATAGATAAAAAGGCAGAGGTGCAGGGGGAGAGAGATGCCCACCTCGGGAGGTGACAGGGTACAGAGGGGAGTGGTGCCCACCTTGGGAAGCGACAGGGCATGGGGATAGCTGCCCGCCTCAGGAGGTGATGGGGTGCAGAGGAGAGAGGTGCCCGCCTCAGGAGGTGATGGGGTGCAGAGGAGAGAGGTGCCCGCCTCGGGTGGTGATGGGGCACAGAGGGGAGAGGTGCCAGACTCAGGAGGTGAGGGGTGCAGGGGGAGAGCTGCCCGCCTCGGGAGGTGACGGGTGCAGGGGGGGAGCTGCCCGATAAGGGAGGTGACGGGGCGCAGGGGGGGAGCTGCCCGCCTCGGGAGGTGACGGGGCGCAGGGGGAGGGGTGCCCACCTTGGGTGGTGATGGGGCACAGAAGGGAGAGGTGCCTGTCTCAGGAGGTGACAGGTGCAGGGGGAGAGGTGCCCACCTCAGGAGGTGACAGAGTGAGAGTGCTGCTGTTAATCACGAGCCTTTACCTCTCTCAAGCAAAGTGCAAGGCTTCGAGTGCCTGGTGCTGGCTTTGCTTCCCATGGCCCTGCTGTCCAGGTTTTGCGGCTGGATCCCCTGCATCCTGAGAGCATCCTTAGGAGGTGACGGGGTGCAGAGGGGGCAGGAAGGGCATCCTGTGATGGGAGTTGCTGAGCAGTGGGGTGGCATGGTGGTGGTGCAGTTGCAGGCACTGAAGCTGGGAGCACTTCCTGGAGGAGGCAGTGGGGGTGTTGGTGCAGAGCAAAGGCTGGAGGGGTTAGCAGGTGCTCAAGAGGCCTTTGGAAAGTGACAAGCACTTTCCTCGGCTCGCTGATGCTGAGGTCACTGTTGGCGGGTCACTGGGCTGAGGAGCATGGGTGTGACCCTGTGGCCTGGCAGGACTCAGGTGGGCTATGCCTCAGCTGCTACCCCAGCAGTGGGGTCTGTGGATCAGGAAGTGGGGTGGGGTCAAGTGGAGTGGTGCACTGAATTCTGCAACTACCACTTGGGGCAGGGCACTCCAGCAGGGAGCACCAGCCTTCTGGGTACCCAGGGAGGTGGGGGATGATGGTGGCAGGGAGGACTACAGGGGGTGGCCCCGTGTTTGGCTGAGCTGGACATGGGCACCCCGGAGGCTGTGATGTGTGTGCATGCATGTACACCTGTGTGTATGTGAGCAAACATGTCTGTGCATGAGTGTGTGCAAGAGCAGCACGTGCTCAGGTGTGCCTGTGTGCTTGCCCATGTGGCCCCGAGGGAAACCAGCCTCTGAGCCCCACCTCCTCTCCACAGGTGCGGAAGATCGCGCCCGAGTACTACGACCACCTGCCGCAGCACTCCTCATGGGTGAGGGTGCTCTGGGATTTTGTGTTTCAGGACTCCCTGGGGCCCTATGCCAGGGTGAAGCGGGTGTACAGGCTCGCAAAGGATGGCCTGTGAGGCTGCCTCCTGGTGGCCATCATCCCCCACCTGCCCCTCTGGCCTCTCACCCCAGCTCTGAGGGGATGTATTTCCTTCCTGCGCCCCGGGCTGCTGCCCTTGTCCCCTCAGAGCGTCCTGCACAGCACACCTGGCCACAGCAGTGTGGGCTGCAGGGCTCTATCTGCTCGTGGACTCACCCTGGACCTTCGCAGTGGCCCTCCCTTTCCGTCCCTCACCGGGCAAGGCCTGGACCTGCCCGTGGTGACCGGGGTGCTCTGAGCCCACAGTACCCACAGAGCTGACTTCTTGGGGTGCCTGCGCCGTCCATTAAACCTGGCGTCTGTTTCACAGCCCATGGATTGTGCTTCTGAGGGGGTGCTGTGGGCTGGAGCCTGGCCCCAGAGAATGGGGCACTGGGCTGCCCCGGCGGGTGGAGCTTGAGGCCTGAGTGCCGCTTCCTCCAGGCCAGGCCCAGGTCCCGTGTGCGCTCCTGGCTCTTTGCAGGATGGTGCCTGCTGCTGGGCAGTGTCCCTGAGGGCCTGCCACTACCATGTGAACACACACTGAGGTGTGGACAGCAGAAAGCTCATTTTGGTCATCTGTGTGGCCCCGAATCTCCGGCTCCTCCCTTGCCTGGCTGAGCCCTGCAGAGGCTGGCTCCCCAGCCTGGAACCCAAACTACCTGCCTCGTCCCCACTCCTTGGGTCTGTTCACTTCCTGCTCTCCCTGTGCCTTCCGGCACGGGGAGTGTCCTGGAGCCCACAGAGGGTCTGTCTCCCACACCAGCTTAGAGGAGGGGCTGGCTGGGCAGGTGAATGCGCCGGTGAGCCACAGCTCAGAGGGATGTAGGCCAGGCAGCGTCCTGGGAGTCTGTGTGAAGTGGGCTATGTGTGGGTCCTTTCTATAGAAAGGCAGAAGGCACAGCTGGAATGTAAGAGGTTGTCTTCTCCTGGAGGGCTGGGCTGGGGTGGGTCCTGATGTCCTAGAGGTAGGTAGGCAGTAGGAGGGGTGCCTGGGTGAGGCCCTCCCTGCCAGAGAGAGATGGAGGGGCCCAGTCCTGCTGCTTCCACCACAGCCCTGGGGAAGGCAGCCTCAGCCTCCAGGACTTAGGAAGGGAGACCGAGGCTGCAGTCAGGGCTTGAAGGCCTTGCCATGAGTAGGGTCCCAGGGGCTGTCCCTGCTGACTTGGGAGATGGAGGCCTTCCCCCACACCTGGGAGTGGCCTCGCATGGTGCCAGGCTCCCTTGTCCCTGGGCAGCCTGCTGAGTGGCACAGGGAAGCAACCTGAGCCCAGAATTTGTTCTGTGAAGGAAGCACCACTGGCCCCGCACGAAGACTTTGAGCTGGGCGGCCCCTCCCTGTACACACAGGCCCACTCACAGGCTGACGGGAGCCCCAGAGCACCCGCTCCTCCTGCTGTGTCTGAGGGGCGCCTTGTCCAGCACTTTTCTTCAGACAGCACAAAGGGGCATGTCCAGGCCTCGTCCACAAGCTGGAGGCCAGGCCCAGGTTTAGAGGGTGGTTCTGAAGATTGTCCTTGGAGCTCTCCGGGAGACTACAGGACTCCTGGCCTGGGGGGAAGCAGGAGAGAGCAGCTCTGAGCTGTGGTCTGCAGGTCCTGGGTTAAAAGTGCCACCAGACCGTGGTGCCTTGCCTCCTAAGGGGCAGAACAGTCATATTCCTGTCACTAGGGCTGCTGGGAAGCCCAGGGAGGTGCAGTGTGTCAGGAGCAGGAGCTGGCCCTTGACATCAGCCACTGGGTCCCAATACGCCAGTGCTCCCTTCCCTGCCATGGCCCTTGGGGGCTGCTGGGCACACTGCTCTTGGTGGCTGTGGGGGGTCATGTGGGAGAACTGGGGCATGAACGGTCACAGGATCTCAAGGCCAGCCTGTTGGTGACCCTGGGTCCTAGAAGCCAAGGGTCAGAGCCTCTGTCTCTGGCTGCTGCTTCAGGGCAGGGGCCTGGGACAGGCCATTGCAGGCCAGGTGGTCCTCCCCAGAGACTTTGTGGACCCGAGGAGCAGGCAAAGCTGCCTTGCATCTGCCCGGTGTCTACTGAGCCCCACGTCCATCCCTCCCCTGGACAGGGTGCTCATGGGGCCCTGTCGTCAGAATGCGCACAGAGTCCTGTGGAGCTCGGGGGTGTGGGCTGCACTTAAGGGCCATCTTCCTGGGGGTCCTGAGGCCCAGCTCCAGGACACCAGCCCACCCTTCCTGGGCTTGGGAATGCTCTGAGCCCAACTTTCTGTCCAAGACCACCATCTTGCTCCTACGACTCCTGGTCACGGTGGTCCCAGGCTCTTCACCGAGTGTGAAGGACCAACGTGAGATCCTGAGTGCGAGGGTGCGGACAGTAAACCTTTATTACTGTGTGAACACAGACACCGTGGTGCATGACAGACAATTTCAACACCATGATCGCTGGGGACGGAGCTGCGCTGGACAGCTCTGCAGTGCACGGTGGCGCCACACCGGGCCGCTGTCACTGCCAGCTGAGGCGCTAACAGCGTCACCTGGGAGAAAACCTGGAAACCATCTAATGAAGCAGGTGATTTAGGGGTGTCTCTCTATAAACCAAAAGAAATGTACACTTAAATAAGCAAATATAAAATACAAAAAAGACAAGTAGACCTGGTGTTCTGTGTCAGGTAGAATCTAAAAAAATCCAGGAGTTGCACTTGGTTTCCTCACTGTAACGTGTGATCACAGGTCGGGAGGTTTCTCGGCAGTGCACCTACGCTCCCGTGCGTGCTCTGGTGCGCTGGAGTCTGGGGCTGGCTGGGCTCCTGGCTGTCCTCCGTCGCCAGATGGGCTCGACATCTCAGCGCAGCGCGGCTGACCCCTTACGTGGTGCTGATCCCACTCAGCTCCTGCCTGATGGCTGTGGGACAGGTGGTGGCGGCTCAGGTGCAGCCATGGTGAGTGCAGTCCAGCTCCTCATCAGGGCCCCGCACCCCTGGCGTGGACCTGCCTGGCATCTGCCCCTGCCCCATTCCCTGGGAGCCCCACCCAGGCTTTGGCGCAGACCTCTGGGATGATGACAAGACGCTTTGGGGGCTCATCCGCCATTCCTCCTGTGGTGGCCCCTGCTGCCACTGCCCCTGTTAGGGGAGGACCTGGCTCAGGACAGATGCTGGTGCCCTGCCTGTGGCTCACTGCTGCTGAGGCATGGTGGGTACTGGGACCCTGGTGTGAGGAGCTGCTCTGCGTGGGGATGCAGGATCTTTGTAGGCTCTGGACAGGTGGCTATCGAGGTGCCAGGGGCCTGGGAGCCCTTCCCCCAACAGAGTGGAGGCTGAGGTTCCGCCCTCCCTGCTCCTGCAGGGGCAGCAGGAAGTCCTGGCCCTGGCTCTGCTCACTCCCCAGGAGACACAGGGGCCTCTCTTGTCTCCTGGCTTTCTCCCCACCCCAAGCTAGTGCTCCAACTCCCCGCCTCCCAAATTTGGGCCTTTCCCTCCTTGCTCTGCTATCTGTCTCCTCCCTGACTCCCCCTCCTCTATGCCAGCTCAGGCCTCTCCCTGGATGGACCCTGTTGGGGCAAGAGCCAACAGCCAGGGCAAGGCGGGGGGGTGGCATCCCCCAGCCACAGGGAGCTGCTTCGCAGAGCCCCTGGCATGGCCCATGCCTACCCCTTCCTGGGCTCTCAGCCAGGGTGGTTTCCTGGGGCTGTACCTGTGACAGGCAGAGGCTGTGGAGGGCCCTTGGTTTCTGACCAGCTATGCCTGGGGCTGGAGGGTGCCCAGCAGTAAGGCGGTGTTACCAGTTAGCTGGGTAGACTGCCTCACATTCCCTCATTTGTTAACTCCTTATCTCCCCAGCCCAGGCCTTTGGGCGAACTGGACAAACAGGAACTGAGTGCTCTCTGCTCAAACAAGGGCGGGCCGGCTAGGCGGGGAGGCCTGGGTCTTCGGACTCCTACCTGTCTCTTTCCTCTGCCATCAGCCTCCAACCCTGTGTGCTTGTGGGACCCTTTTGCCCAGGTCACTGCAATGTCCCCGGGGCCAGACCCAGCTGCACACCAGGTGTGAGCCTTCATCGCCCTAGTGGGGGAGGCAGGTGGGAGCTGGCACTGGCTGCACTGCACAGCTCTGACCCAGGGCTAAGCCTGCCCTGCCCAGACCCACCCCCTTTTCCTCTGGCTGCAGATCTGAGCCAGCGCCCTCAAAGGCTCTGGTGGGAACCGGAAGGACGGATGTAATGCACTGAGACCCGCCCTGCTCCGGAGCCAGAGGCTGCTCCCCACCTGCTCCCCAGCCCAAGGCCAGGCAGGCTGCGGCTCAGGCCTGGAAGGGGCTTCTGTGGCCCTTGGTCTCCCTGCACCCCCAGGAAGGCAGAGTGCTTCTCTCAGAACCCCAACACGAGTGACTGGAGGTGGCAGAATCAAGATGGCAACATAAACCATCGGGGGTGAAATGACAGATGCTCAGGTGGCTTCCTCCAGACCTGGCTTTGTAATGATGTGGGGTCTGCCCCTCCATGCACCTCCTACGTGGGACCTCGGGGAAGGTGCACAGGGCTGTGGAGGGTCTCAGATTCGGATGTCATGCCACCGGGAGCTGCACATTCTTAGGCAAGTCACTTAGCTTTCCTGAGCCTGTTTCCTCAACTAGAGATCGTAAGAAGAATGAAATTTCTTACAGGGTGGGCTCTGCTCAAAACTGCAGGCCCCCACCCTGGGTGACAGGGACCCCTGTCCTGCAGCCCCTGGGTGCCGCCCTCCCCAGCAGGGGTTCCACTCACCATCGATGATCTCCTCCTTCACCTTGTGGAGCTCTCTGACCACCTCCTCTAGGATCTCCTATTGGAAAGGAGCATCCAGGTGAAGGGACAGGCAGTGGAGACAGAAAAGCCAGCCTGGGCTGGGCCATGTTCAAAGGGGTCAGGGTTTCCTGGGCCTCTCCAGAGTCACATCTGTCACCCTTGCCTCCCTGCGGCCCCCTTCCCACGCTGAGGGGGGACAGTGTGCAAGGCCTGGAAACATCCTGCAGCCGCCTCCCTCAGGCAGATGTGGCTGAAACTAAGGGCTGCCCTAGGGAAGAAAACCCCCGAGGCGGGCCTAAGGGAGGTGCCCAGAAAGGTTGAGGGACGTCTTAGTTCTGGTGACAGCAGAGGCTGGGGACAAGGGACAAGCTTGGTCACCCCCTTTCCGTCATGGCTGCTCCCTGACTGGCTTTTTGGCAGCCACATGTGGGCCCCCAGGGCCTGCCTGGCCGTGCTGGTCAGAGACGGTCCCCAGCCTGCTGGCTGCTCTCAGCATCTGAGAAGGGCACAGGGCACACTCACCTGCTTCATTCGGTCCAAGTCGAAGGCATCCAGGGCCACGTCATTCACGCTCCCAGCAGGCTTCATCCTGGGAGAGGAAGGGTGGGTGAGGTAAGTGGGAGCAGGGCTGCGGGTGCCTGGCTGGAGGCGGGTGTGAGGCAAGCTGGCTGTGCAGAGGGCAAGCTCAGGCCAGGCCCATCTGCGCCCCTCACTCCACAGAGGCTGCTGCTTCGGACTCTGGCCACCTCACACTACTTGACCCCGAAAGGCTCTCCAGGGATACTGTGACCATACTTCCCAACCCGAAAGCCAAGGCTGGGGTAACAAAGGAACTGCTTTCTGATCAGAGCTCTTATGCAGAGGTAGCAACTTAAGCAACGACACTGAACCCACCCGTTGCCTCTCTGGAAAGAAAACAGTATCAACAGCCTCCTCCTCAGGGTGGGAGCTCATGCTCCAGGTTGAACTGGGGCTCAGGGAAGCAGCAGCGGCAGCAGGAAGTACAATGTAATGTTGCGGAGCTCACACCAGCTCGGAGGTGTGCTCCTGACACATACCAGCGTCCCTGGTGCTGGAGCCGGCTAGGGCACAGCACACCTCCCCTAAGAAACACCCTCCCATGTGGTTTCGCTTTTTTTTTTTTTTTGAGACAGTTTCACTCTTATCGCCCAGGCTGGAGTGCCACGGTGCAATCTCAGCTCACTGCAACCTCCGCCTCCCGGGTTCAAGCAATTTTCCTTCCTCAGCCTCCCAAGCAGCTGGGACTACAGGCATGCGCCACCATACCCGGCTGTGTATTTTTAGTAGTGACAGTGTTCTCCATGTTGGTCAGGCTGGTCTCAAACTTCCAACCTCAGGTGATCCACCTGCCTCGGCCTCCCAAAGTGCTGGGATTACAGTCGTGAGACACCTTGCCCAGCTGGTTTTGCTCTTTTGAAGTAGTTCTCATAGACTACTACTTTGAAAAGTTTCTGAACTAAGGTAACTGACTTGAATTTTATTTTTATTTATTTGAGACAAGGTCTCA